GTGTGTGTGCGTGTGTGTGTGCAGTCAGGCGTGCTTGAACTTCGAACTGTCCATTTGTGTGTGGAAAATATTGTGTACTCATTGAGTCATTGTTCTTCCTGTCTGTGCACTGGCATTGCAGAATTTATGTGTGAACCTGTTAACGGCAGCAGAAGTACAAGGAGGTTGAAGAAGCAGCGGAGAGAAGAGAAGTGGGCAACCGTCAACATCATGAAGCCGGCTGTGACAATCGCCGCCCTTCTGGCCATATGGCTGGTCTTGTTGGTTGTCTACCCAGCCAGCGTTTCTGGTGGCTGGTTAGCATGTAAGCCAAACACCGACCAGAACGCACATACAAGGAATAAAATCGACTGCAAAAAATATCCGGGTGCAGCAAGCGTGGATGGGTGCAAAGCGTGGTGTGATGACGACGAGAAGTGTTGGGGAATCGTTTACGCAGACTACTCCTGGCCAAGTGGCAAGTACTGCTGCTTCCTGAAAAGTAAAATTGAGTCTAATCTGTTTCAAAACCAACCGGGCCGGACCGTCTGTGAGTGGGTTGCATGACAGAACAGCTGGATTATCGGGTGGAACTGTGGTGTTGCCAGACTATCCACCGGTAGTGCCAGCTGCACACAAGAACAGCGAAGCACACGAAGCAAAGCAAGAAGCACCACCGGGATAGCAGCACCAAAGTGTAGTAGTATAAATGGTACTATCATCACGATGGGACACTTGTCTAGGTCAGCTGCACGGCTGCAGTTACAAACTGCCATTTATCCGCGAGGGCCATTCATTAGCAAGTCCTAGACTACACGAGATTTGATAGAGAGTATTGAATGGAGTAAGCTTTAAGATGAGCAAAGTAAGGATGCTAGACATTGCTAGTTCCTGCAGTCACGGGGACGCAAATGGCAGGCAGAACACAGTGTGGCTGTTCCAATTTTCCGGTTCGCTGACCTGAAGAGCGCCAGGTGCCGAGAAACGGCTGTTATGACTGTTAGTTGCTCCTATTTTGTTGCAGCTCTGCAAGAAGTTAAAAAGGCGCCTCTCGTTTTCACTGTACAGTGTACTCTCTTGTCGCGTGGTTCCCCTCCTCCTCCTTCTTTTCGCCTTCTTCTGTATGCCATTCCTCTTGCCTCCAGCTGTCCTTTGTCCTGATCATCGGAGTTTCGCTCCCGGACTGTCACAGCGGTGGATTAACACCTTTTACGACAGCTTGAATGATGCCTCAAGGGTTTTGGCTTTGGCTACAAACTGCTATGCTGAACGTGAACACTATAATACCTCAGGGAATTTTTTTTTTTGAAAAAAGATCAAAATAAAAAAGAAAGGGATGTGCTCAATGCTCATTGGTCATTTGCTAACATGGCTCTGCAAGAAAACAGAGGGTGTTTTGGCATTGTGCCTTGATTATGCTACGTTCATCACGGTCTTGGACTCTTTTGGTTTGTCTGAACTTTGCTGTTCGAATAGTACTTGTTTTATTTATTTCATCTTCAAGTTGACGTTCTGTTTCCAGGTTTCTCTAGCGGGAATCACATAAATAAACACTCAAAATGTCAAAGAAGATACCGACAGGCAAGCCAGTTTAAAGAAATAGGAAGTGAGAGGAAGGGGATAATGAGGATAAACATGTGAAGACAGAACAGACACTGTCAGGCATCCTCCACAGTCTGCAACCAGGGGAAAGCCGATAAACATGAGAAATGCAGGGCTCATTCTTAATCATTTCCTCCAAGCGCGAAATTCAATGGTTCTGAAAATCGCAATCCGATCGCTCCCTCCAGGCATCAAAAATGCAACCTGCTGATTGAAAATCAAAATGCTTACCACAAGGCAAAGTGAACTGGGATGAAATTTAAGGCCCGAGATGAGCACTTAACCCCACCCCAGCATGGTCAGTACATCACATACAGCCATGACCTAGTGTACCCAGTCACATCAACCAAGTCAGTACCACTCTCTAAGCCATAGGTCAAGGGGGTTTGCATGCCGACCAACCCGGGTATAATTTCCCGGGAGCTCAAAGCATGCTGCATTGAAGCTCATTCTTAATCATTGCCTCCAAGCGCAAAATTCAATGGTTTCTGAAAATCGCAATTCAATCTCTTCCTCCAGGTATCGAACCTGCAACCTGCTGATTGAAAATCAGAATGCTTTCCACAAGGCAAAGTGAGCTGGGATAAAAGTCAAGGCCCGAGATGAGCACTTAACCCCAACCCAGCATGGTCAATACATCACATACAGTATGACCCGGTGTACCCAGTCAGATCAACCAAGTAAGTACCACTCCCTAAGCCATAGCTCGAGGGGGTTTGCATGCCGACCAACCCGGGTATAATTTCCCGGGAGCTCAAAGCATGTTGCATTGAAACTCATTCTTAATCATTGCCTCCAAGCGCGAAATTCAATGGTTCTGAAAATCGCTATTCAATTGCTCCCTTTAGGCATCGGACCTGCAACCTACTGATTGAAAATTAGAATGCTTAACACAAGGCAAAGTGAGCTGGGATGAAAG